TCGGGTTCGGTTCGAATCCCTGTTTTTGCAAATATATCAAGATGGAAATTTATAGGTTGGGCTCATTAATTTTAAAAAATTGATAAAATATTTATATTCAACTAGATTGAATAGGCAATTTGACATATTTTATAGTTATAGATTTGAATAGTTGCACTAATAAAAAGAATAAGTTTAAAGAATCACAAGGAAAATATTATTTAAAATTTATGATATAATAAATTAAATTATAAATCATAATTTTTGCAATAAAATCTCATATTTATATTAAGGAAAATTTCCATTATTTCCCGGGAAATTTCCCTACCTTTACATCTCTAGTTGAACCTAAAAAATGGTTACTTTAAACTTAATTTTTTTGTTTTTGCTACTAATATGTTAAGACGCAAGTGCCCTAACTTTTTACCTTTTTTCAAATTTTTCACCAGTAATTTTTAGATGCAAAAATAGCTAACAAAAGTTTTTTTTTACTCTTATTTTTACAAAATAAACTTATATCGATCAATAGTTTGGGTAATTTAAAAATTTTGCCACCTAGACCTGTATCGAACCCGGCATATTTTTGTTAGGTTTATTACCTTTTCGTTCTCATATAAGATTAATTTAATTATTATATATTTTAAGATAATTCAAATCCTCTAGCTCAATCATTTATATTAATAAACTCAGAAACATTTATTCCACTAAAAGAAAAATAATCATAATTTTATTGGTTATTAAGTGTTAAATCTAATGATGAGTTTGATTATGTAACAATAAATTAAGGCTCTTTTAGTAATAAATTTCGAAGTTATTTTTTTTATCATCTTACTCAATCCGTAAGTTCTTTAAGTATGGGTGATGATGATTCCAAAAATACCTCATTTTATTCATTATCATACAAAAAAAAATTTCCAAAATTTTTCCTATACCATCTTGGACAGCTATCAATAAAGGTAGACAATATTTTAAACTTTAATTTTCAAATATACCTAAGTCCTTCTTAACCACAAATAATATGGGCATAAGCAATATCAATATCTTTTAATGCCAGACTATCAATTTTTTTAAAAATTTCAATGAAGTCATATTATCGTATAGGTTATTTCGCCCGGGCATGCATGGAATTTCCACTGATTATCTCCCTTATTATTTTTAAAGATTTGGACCATTCACAGGCATTCCATAGCGTTATACATTTATTCCATAACTCCATGAGTGAATCTTTCCAAGAGACTGAGTTTGATATTGCAAAAAAACGACTTTAGTAGCAACTAAGGATAAGTTTTGACATTTATAGGTCAGCCGTTACTTTTATCTTTTAAAATATTTTCCACCTAAAATGTTAAGATTTGGATTTAATTGAGGGAATCCTATTTTCATAATTTCAATTTTACTACTTTCTTCTTCATTATAATTAGAAAGGTATGGTAGTATTCCATTCAGATATATTAATAAATACAGTGGCGTAGCCAGGATTGATCCATGGTGAAGGGGGGGGGGTTAAACCACATTTTAAAAATTTGCCAATAGTTTGTGCTTTATTAGTGTCTATCCACTATAGTAGTCAGCATAAATGAAAAAAATATTAGTAATAATACGCGACTGAAAACATTATTCCGAAAATTTTTGTAAATTAATTCAATCCATTTGGTATATAAAGAAGAAAAAGTAACACCCCAAAAACCTCCCATTTTTATGATCACTCAATATATTTTATTCTATGTTAAAAATAATTATGTTAATTAAATTTTTGCTTATAACAAAATTTTGCAGAGAATTTCATTATAAATTTTATTTATTATTAAAATACTTTAGTATAAATAACACCCTCTTTATTTAACTATGTATTTATTTTAATGATAATATAAAATAAATCTCAAAATGTAGAAATTTTTTTCAGATTATATTAAAAATTTATTCTATATAACTATATTTTAAAAAAAAGTTGCAATAAAATATGAGTGATTCTTATACGATATTTAAAAAATCGAATTTAACAATTATAATTAATACAAATGAGTATATTAATAAAACATAAATAATTCTTATTAGAGATCTGCAAAAGTAGGAAAATCGGGTTCGGGCTGGGTCGGGCCTAATATTTTTTGAAAAAATTCGGGCCGGGTTGGCTCAGGCCTTGGAAATTTTTTTAAATATATCAATTTTATGTTAATTTTTTAATGTAAAATATTTTAGTTATAAAAACTAGACGCCATATAACATAATATCTTTTATTTTGAGTAATTATAAAAATGAATTTCTATATTTAAATAAATTCGGGCCAGGCCGACAAAACTTTATAAAAAACATTTCGGGTTCGGGCCGGCAAAACTTTTTAAAAATAATTTCGGGCAGGGCCGGGTTTGATTAGGCCAGATGCAGATCACTAATTCTTATTGCAATATTTTTATTAAAAATAGTATAATATATAAATATTATGACTAATAATTCATTATAATTACGTTTTGAATATAAAAATTTTATGACTAAGAACATATTAATATAGCAATTTTATTATTTTAATTTATAAAATGAGGTCTACTTTTCTCTGAGATTTGACTAATTAATCTTGAATCAAATTTTTATTTTGAATAATCTCCTTATAAATATTTAGTATTGCGAATCCATTTAAACGGCTTTCACCGGTGCTATTTCTTAAATAGGTTTTTAACCTTTTCAAAGTTGAAAAAGACCTTACATTTAGTGTAGGTGATAATCGGTAAAGTAACTAAAAAAAAATCAATGTTTTGATATTAGGCAGGGAATCTAAAGTGCAATGGAAAGGGCCTGGAAAGCATATTTTGGTCTCAAAGAGTACTCAATTCTGTCAAAATTTTTATACCAAAATTCGACATCACAAAGTAACTTATCATACGATCCTGATAATTCATCAGAATAAAACTCTGAGGTTTTCTTAATATCCTCTCGCGTTTCAAGTGTATTCAGACTCAACCGGCAAAAGAAAATAAAAGCTGTTTAAAATAAAATTGTAACTAATAAATCTTTCCTTTAATTAAAATAAAAATGTGTCAATAAGGGGAGTAAAGATAATTTTTTAAAAATCCTCAATCGTAGATACATCAATATTTAAGCGATTTGACTATCTAGAAACTACTCTAGGTTTAAAATTTTTAATCCCAAACATATTAGCGATCACCTTTACTTTCTCGTTATATTTACCAAATTAAATGATAAAAAAAATAATTTAAATTTTTAAAACTATCTAATTATTTTAACAATATAAATATTATTAAATTTATAAATATCTAATTTAACTATGCGAGAAAAAATTTACAATATATTTTTATTGTTATTTAATATTTTACATATAATTTTAATATATATTTTTAAACCATGTTATCATTTAAAATTGAAAATTCTTATTTGCTTTTTTAAAATATATTTCATTTTGATATCGTATATAAATTTATTTATAAATTGAAACCGTATTTTAAATAAAATTATTCGCAATAAGAAAAAAATTTTAAAAATTTTTTTAACCCCCCCCCCCCCCCCCCCAATATAAACTGTATACTTTTATTTTGTTTTGATGTTGATATTTATATATATTGATGATGTAAATTGTAGCCGATTTTCAAGTTGATTTTTGCTGAATTCTAAATATTAGCAATATTTTTAAAATATGACGACAAGAAAGAAAGTTTTTTATTCTATCCACACATGCTCCTTTTTTTTTAAATATATGTTTCATATATTTTAGTGTCTATATATAAAATATGTTTTTTATGTTTCTCTTTATATGTATTTGTAAAAATATAATTTTAAATGTTGTTTGTCGAATTTTCGTCCCGTTTGTATAAAGAAAATACCACATACACAGATAATTATTTTAATATGATTTATTTTTGTTTTAACAAAATGGACATCCCCATCTAGGTTACCTCGCGATATAATAATTCAATAACTCGAAGTGAATATTTCAATTTTAATTCAATTGCGTTTAGAAAAATAGGCGATGAAAAACGAAATATGTACCATTATTTTTTTATATCCTTATCGACGAAATATTATCTTTTTCTTAAAATTTTGTAAATTAAATGTTAAATTTTGTTATATTATATTAATAAAAAAGAGAACTCAAATGGATCAGCATCGTATCGTGCCCTAAAATCAATTAAATGAAAGCCTCATTTATGAGAAATCCGTTCCTTTTTTCTCAAATTAATTTGGAATAAAATCCGCACTCATACTGCGGTGAGGCAGTTGCCCTCACGGTCAAAAAAATTTGGGACATAGTTGCCTAATAAAAAATTATGGTAAGAAGCTTTTTTTTTAAACAAACCCTCGCCCCCGGGTGAGGTGTGCGACTATAGTGGTCTTTACTACTGTGTGTAGTATTATTTTAAATTTTACCCTAGGTTTCAATATGATGACCAAAATTTCAGCGAAACAGGGTTCCCAGCCCACTCCCCCGAAAATATCAAACCTTGATCTCAGTCAATCCCTTCCGGACATTCGAACCTTCCAATGGTACGGCACTAAAGAATACTAAAATTAATAAAGGAATCCACGAAAAAAATTTACGTGCTTATATTATTTATTACACAAAATTATAAAAATTATCTGTATCTTTTGTCGAGAAAATGAAAAAATAAAATAAAGTATCCAGATACAGATAAAAATTTAAGAGTACAAGATACAAAAGGATCTTGTATCTTAAATATAAGTAAGCGGTACCATTCTGGGTTATAAATCATTTCATAAAAATTATAATTTCCTTTTCCTTTCGCCAGCAAAAACAAAATGAAGAAAAATCAAAAGATAACATCTTATTTTAAAAAGTTCACTTTATAATATTAATAAAAAACGATTCGATATATAGTTGCTTAAAGATAGCGATAATTATTACTTTCAATTCTTGTTCTTTGGTGAATATTTTGTGCTAAACTCTGAACATTAACCTATCCCATTTATGATCAAAACTTTTTCCTTTTTTGATCGGACTTTTCCATTTTTAAATGGGAAACTTAGTATAAGAAATTAAATAATGCAAAGTGTTGAATGAATCAATAAATAGGCTATTCATTGGGTGAAATAAATGTCAATAAGATAGTATGATGCCCTATTATAAAATATTTAATACAACATGATAAATCGAATATTGTTAAAAATAAATAAAATACGATTTGATTTGTCCTAATAAGTAAATTATAAAATATTTTTGGTCACGTATGTTATAATTTATATATTTTTAGCCCATGTCATTTAATGATAATCGGGGAAAAGATTATATGTTCAGACTATATTTCGTGCGGACAGTAGCTAGGTCCAAGAATGGGAGAAGCTGGTATGCCGAGACTAGAGAGGGAGAATATATAGGAAAATAATAATAAATATTTAATTATAATATAAATAATTTGATACCTACTGCGATAATTTTTCTTATTTAATTACTCAACCCCCCCCCCCCCCCCCTCCCCCCAACGCGGCTGATTAACTATTTTGTAATCTCTTTCTCTTTATTCTCCATTCTTTCCTAACAATCATGTTCGTTTTATTTTTTAAATTCATTATTATTTCATCATTGATTCCTTCTACATATTTTGACCTCTTTTATTACTTCCCTCCTTTTTTTATATCACTTTAAAAAAATATATACTTACACTTTCATCCTACATCTATGTCCTTGTAATCTGGGGGAAGCCAAAGTGACGTTATTTATATATGAGGGGCTCCATAATCTTTCCGCAACGGCTGCCGCCCTCGGCCTTGTCACAATTGTTTTTTTTTCAAATAAATTTTATTACATCATTTTATATACCAGTTAAAAATAATCCAAATATATGTTTTATGACATCAAAGGTTGTGAAAAAAATCTCAAATTATTCAAATCCGATATTTCTTAAAGCTCTGGCCTATTAAATTAAGGGTTCTTTCTGAAATTTGGATCTATCATATATGAATGAGGGTGGTAACTTGTAAGGCTAATTTATAAATAACCTTCAATACTTGGGTGATAGAATTCAAAAAAATAGCAGTACTATAAACATTTAAAATAATCTGTCAATCAGTAATGATGGGGGCATGGGAAAAAATAGTGGTCCTTAAATGGTTATAGTAATTTATATGTCTTAGGGTATACTGAATTTTCGAGATAGTATTATATAAAATAAAATAATTTGGGCAGGCGATAGTTTAATGGGTTATCCCGACATGCGCAATAGGTTTTAATTCAAATAATATTATCGGTTAATTTATGTACGTTTAAAATAATTATGATGAATAAATTTAATTTAGCAATAGAGCTGCAACGATCCAAAATTTTTTAACCGAACCGATATTTATTTCAAACTGTACTAATACCGATATTTACATTGATATGTTTTTGTCATTATTTTATATAATATAAGATAATGGAATAATAAAAATCTTTGTAGGAGATATCTTTTCGTGGTCGATATAGTTTTCCCTACTAGCTCATTAAGTTTAAAATTCTACAATAATTGGTCATGTCAAAGGAGATCAAATTATTAAAGGCGTAAGTTAAACTAAAAGATTCCCAAAAATAAAAAAAAAGAATTTAATTTTGTTTGAAAAAAGAAATAAGGGGTCTTTCAGAAAGAAAATTAAAAAGAATTAATTAAATTTAACATGTGATTTCCATGATATTATGGGAAAAATGGGATTTCATTAAAAAAAGTTATTTTATATAAAATAAGTTTTCATGATACACTAGTAAAAAAAAAAAAATTCGATCGCGTTCGTTGGCAAAATATAAATACCCATTCCAAATTTATTTGGGAAAAAGGGAAGGCCTTTAAATTCATTTTTTTAAAAATGTATTTAATAAAAATAAATGCGTAATATATAATAACTCCGTGTTAGCCGTTGAATTTAATTTTTTATTTTGTAATAGAATAGAGGGCGTAAAATGTAACCAAAAAATAAGATTTAAAATATAGCAAGATAATAATTGAATTTGTAGTGGGTAGAGGGGTGATTTTGATTTTCTATTTTTACTATGAATTGTTCGGAAATATGGGGAGAGCTAAATTTTAGATTAGGTCAGGGAGTAAAATTTTTAGAAGTCCCTGTATATAATTTTTAAAAATTACCCTAAAAAATATTTAATTTTTTAAAAAAATTTAACCATAAAGTGGATAGTAAGTTAGTTTCATCAATGAATTCGCCCCACATGCAAGCCTCGCCACCCAAGAAATATGTTGCATCCACATCGGTAACTGTTAGAAATTAATTTAATATAATATATTTTTTAAAGTATATATATATATATAATAAATATGAATACAGTGAAACCTTAAGACCATCTCCTTATCTTGACAACTCTAGTTCAGTCTAAGTCAAACTCCTAGCCTATCAAAAATGTTCTATAGGGTTTCAATATGTAAACTATTTCTTAAAATCATTCGAATCTTGCTTAAACTTAATTTAATTAGTGTTATAAATTGATTAATGTCCTTTAAGCTTTAAATCCGTGAAATTGATAATTGCTACAAATGATATTTAAAAGAATAAATAGAATTTTTGGGTTGTTAGGATTTGTAAATTGTGGAATAAAATGAATGAATAAATCAATACACTAATTGAATCTTACATTACGTTAAATTGCTCTATAAAGAAACAATAAAAGGAGTAATAAAAATATGTATGAATTAAACTATTATCGGAGTCAAAAGGGTCTACGAGGTAATACGTTTGCCAATCTCGACCGTAACTCACGTAATTCAGATACCAAGGCGATGAAAGGATGGCATAAAGTTTGGCCTTCAAAATGGCCTTTAATTTCGAAGTCCAGCCCGAACGCCAAATCTGAACTATAGTGCTAGTTTTGTCTATAAAATATGCTAGATTTCTCTCATCTCCGCTCCCCTAAGGACATTGATATTAAGCGTAGAATATTATTAGTTTTATATGTTTTTCATGAAATATTCGATAGTATCATGAATTATCCTTATATACAAAAAAATCATTATTTTTCGGATGGTAGGTTTAGCCCATAGGTTTGTAGATCTGAACTAAGGCACAGCAAATTATCCGACTTATGTTCAATCCCCAGTTCGGATAATTTATTTTAATGAAACCAGCCTCCCTGAGCAGATAGTTTAGGGAGGGTAAGATTAAGGTTTAGAGATCAGAGTTGCTAAAGTATCAAAAATATCATATTTGTATCTTTACTAGATTATGCCTTGTCTAGATATATATTCGCTGTGTATATTAGTTATAGATATATTTAAGATATATTATGATATCTGTGCAGGTTTATTTCTTTCCAATTTAAGCAAGTTTTATTTTATACAATGGATGAAAAAATTATTTAAATATGGTGGTAAAAATAATCTTTATGCATTATAAATTTTTAGATGATTAATATTAGATTAGGGCTATTGATGAATAAAAAAAATTAACACATTATAAAACTTTTTTTTAATTAGACTTATTTAAATTATATATTTTATATTATATATAAATAAATTGGTTCAATAAAAAATTTGAGTTCTAATAAATTTTTGATTTTGGAATTATTAACACCTTACATGATGATTATATTAAAAAATGAACTTTAAGATGTATGCTAAGGAAATTGTAGTTGTATAAAGATACATTTCTATATCCAGATACCCTTTAAGTCATGTATCTGTATCCAAATACCCTTTCATGTATCTATAATTAGACACATTAGAAAAATATCTTTTAACAACCCTCTGAGTAGACAGATATGGTTTATGGTATTCCTCCCCTAACAAGTATATTATATTAAAGTTAGATTAAAAAAAATATCTTTCAAATTGTGTAGATTTTTAACTTATAAAAAGAGGTATAATTTTATAAGGATATTTCCCTTTTTTTAAAATTAGTTTTGCATAAGTTATAGTAATTTTGGCAATCAAAATATTTTCATAGGTCTATGAGAAATAAATCAGACATCATCTGTCTAATGACGATTATCATTTAAATTACAAAAATATCATTAAAATATACTTTTATGTTATAATCATATATACATTATAAGTTAGTCTTAGTAGTAAGAGTGTAAAAAATATATTATCTAACCCTAAAATGCACTATAAAAAAGATGAATAATAGATTTATAATTGCAGGTTTTTAATTTATTTCCTTATTTTACATGAACAAGATTATCGAAGATCTCCTGCCAAACCACAAATTTTCTCATAGGGTCCTTAGCTTTCAGGATATCTATCAGCTTGAGAACAAAATAATTTTCGAGTAAAGGGTAATTAGAGCTGTTCCATCCTTTTCGTTTCATGAATTCCTGGATGTCGGGGTTAGATGCCCTTATATAGGGGTGGGATTGTAATATTTGTATAAAAACTTTTCGTATTAAAAAAAGAAAGTAATATAAAAAATGAAAGGGACAAAAGATATGATATAAAAGAAATTAGTAAAGGTTAAAAAATTAAAATCAAAGGGAAAGGAATAAAAACAGATTTAAAAAATAAAAATATATAATTGATGAATAAATCAATTTATTTACCAACAAGTGAAAATAACTTCATCACCTCCCAAGTGAATATACTTTTCGGGGAACCTTTCCATAATTTCCCCAAATAGATCACTCAAAAATGGATAAGTGAAATCTCCAATCGGGTTTATGGGACCCATTATGCTTTCTTTAACTAAAAGAGATAACGATGACTCCGGTATTGAATTTCTATCATCTCCCGCACTCACAAAACCATTAATTCCGTTGAAATTCGTTTTTATATTTGGAATAATCATTTCTTCATTTTGAATTTTCGTTTCTTTATTGTTTTTTGGTGATTCGATACTACTAGCTTTGTAAGCATTTAGGTTTTCTAAAATATTTCTGTCAAGGGAAACGTTAAAATTCATGGATAATTTGGATATACCTTCTAGTAAGTCATCTCGAGTAAATATTTTCATGTTCGAATCTTTAGAACTTTTTAAAATAAAATTATCAACGAAATTTGGAGATATTTTCGGCATGTTTCCAAGGTCCGTGTTACTTTTCCCTTGCTCACGTTCAGTATAATCTCTATCATCTATTTTAAGAACATCGTTTGGAAATTTCTGCTTATTATTAGAGGAAATACTGTCCAAAAGATTTGGATTGGAAGCGCTACGATAACAAGTGGTAAGAAGTTGCGGCAAATATTTTCCCCAAGAAAGGGTATGACCTGATAATAATTAATTTCCAAAACAAAACTTTTATATAAAATTTCGTTTTCTTTCTACCAAACTTCTTTCTAATTTCCCTTTTATCTATTTTCCTTTTTTTATTTCCTCTAAAAAGCAGTACACAATATTTTATAAGTCCAAATATTATATAGTATTTCATTTTAATTATAAACCCACTTTTTTAACTTCGATAGAGTCCTCTATTCCTTTTTATTTTATAATTTTTTTGAGCATAAAAAAGGGTTATATTAGGGATTGTCATGATTTACATATTTATCATTCGGTTCTGGTGTTCTTTTAAAATTAAAAAGGTTATGTTCTGATTAGTGATGCAAAATAGCTCCATTTGAGCCGATTTTCAAAAAAGGCCAAGTCAATATAATTATTGATTTAATTCAGCTAAACTTTTATCGCGAAACACTTTTTCGCTAAACTTTTATAGCGAAGGAATTTCATAACAAAAGTAATATCGTAAAAACAATTCCGCGAAAAATTTATAGTGAAGCCATTATCGCGAATTTATTTCCGCGAAATATTAATCGCGAGTTCATTAGAACGAATGTCGTTAATCGCGAAGGAATTTTATAGCGAAAGTAATATCGTAAAACCAATTCCGAGAAACATTTATAGAACGAAACTTTTATCGCGAAGAAGGGAATTTATACCGCTAATGTGTTTACGTGAAATTATCATCGCAAACGCATTACCGCGAAACAATAAATATATCGCGAATGCATTTATTTAAAGGAAAACAACATATTGAATATTAATTTACTCACAAAAGTTCCTTAATTCATAAACGCGAAATGTTTTAAGAATCTTTTGTTACCTATTGTCTATTAAGTAAATGCAACCTTTATCTGATATGATAAAAAATAAATTAACCAATATATTCCTGGGGCTCTTCTCGCGGATGGCTGTAAGTACGGAAGGATATTTGGTTAAGGTATTTACCCCAATAAATTCATCACCCCCTCCTCCTCCAATATAAAATTTTAAAATGTGCTTTATAAAAGTAAATTTGAACAAATATTTTGAAATGCTTAGAAATTTTTCAAATCAAGATAAAAAATACTAAAAGCTAGGAATTTTTGCTGATTTTCTTAGATTATTTATAAAAATCATAGAAGATCTTGCTAAGTAATTTTTTTAAATTTACTCAGAATTATTTTATTCAATTTTCTGAGTTATTAAGACAAAGAGTATTGATTAATTTTGAAACCCAAAAAAATATGAAATAAAATAACTAGTAAATATTTCTGAACAATATATTATATTTTCTAAGAAAATAAAAATTTTTACTTAGCAAAATCATCTTTTGGGAATTCAGTAAAAATTACTTTAAAGGCACGAACGACAATAGATTGGCTTATTTTTTGTAAAGTATATGACAGTTTTAAGTGATATATATATAATATGAACCTGGTAAATTTGAAAATTTATTTACTTAGAAGTTAGGACTATTATTTTCATACAAAAATATTTTTAAAATAAAGATGCGCTATGGCGTACAACGCGAAAAAATAATAGGTACCCAGGGTATTTTTTGTATTTCTTAAATATTAATTTCTACTGTAGAGAATTTGCTAAACTATTTTTTATAGAACTTAAATTTTTTATGGAAAATATAATACTGCCAAGAATTTTTTTACATAAAATATTTCATTTATTAAAATTAGCGCTGTAAATATTTCTAAAAAAATCGAACGCGTTCACGTTCGTTCTTTTTTAAATTTAATTGAATATAAATAAATATCTTATATTTTTTAACACAATATATTAGCCATGTTAAAAATAATAGTTTTATTTTGATAATATATTTATTAATACAATATATATAGCGAATAAAAAGATATTTTTATTTATAAAAAATTTTGTTATTAATTTTTAATAACAATTGTTTTTAAAAATTTCCATCTGATAGACAGGAACGCTTGGCAGTTAATACGGCATTAGCTATACTAAAAACGCGCTCTACAGGGGCAGATGAGGGGATTGCGGTATCATACATAATAAACAACTTTTTTAATGTTGGGAATTTATTAAAAACATTATTGTTTTGTCTTTTGCTTCAAAAAATCGAGATAAGTTATCTTCCTCCAATCCATCCTTTACTTCGTCGTCAAAAAAAGGATATCTCGAAATTAAAAGTTCTTGCATTTCCATTTCTAGGGTTTTCAATGCATTTTTTCAAAACGCTATAATTTTATTTTTTATAGGTTCCTTCTGTGGAAGTTTTATCCATGGCCTTTGAAGTTTGAATACTTTATGTATAATTGCAAAAAGAACACATTGATCTTCATATATATGTTCAAATCTTTAAAAAATAAAATATATGTAATTAATTTTATAGTGATAGGTTTAATACCTTTTATTAATATCATATAATACTGCGTCTATCAATGGTTGACCATATCTTAACCCACTAATTTTTTTTAATTTTAAAATAATTATCGGTATTGTTGGAGTCAAATAGCCAATGCATTTTTTCTTCAAATTTAATTATTTTACTTAGTTATGTTCAGTGTTGTTAAACGCTACTTTTAAAAGTAGCGCGCTATCGCTACCGCTATCGTTTTCAAATGAGTAGCGCGCTATTAGCTACTTTTTACGCTATTTTGATTTTTTTTAAAAATATTTTTTAAGTAACTTTATTTTCACAAATAAAATATTGGTATAAAAACATGACTATAATTTGTTACATATTTATATATATATATATAATTTATTTATTATCGCACTTTAATATTAATAACATTTCGTTGTAATGAATATTACAAGTATTATTATTATCTTCACCAAATATTCTTATATTTATATCATATAATAAAAAAATTATAATAAATTTAAAACCTGAAAGCCTTCAGGAAATTAGACCCATTATCTGTAATCATCTTACAAACCTTGTTCTGAATTGTGTAGGACATATGGATTTCTGAAATAATATTTGCTATTGGATCAATCCAATGTGCGGTCACTCCTAAATAAGCTCTAAAAATATGAATATCATATTATAAATCAGAAAATAAACAACTACAGGATGTAGGAGACATCTGATAGATTTAATATTAAAGATTCTTTCATTTCTTTAAAGCTATCCAAAATTCTTGCCATCAATGTCTGCTGGCAAAATATCTTGGTACGTGGAGAAAAAGTGTTTATCATCTTTATAAAAGAACCATTATCCACCAAGGATAATGGTTGAACAGTATCTATTATTAAGTTCATTATGACTTTGTCAGCCAATTTTTGAGATACACCTGGTGTTGACGAATCCAAATTGCTTAATTTTGCTTGAATTAAATTTGATTTGGAAGTGGGTGTATCTTCTTCCATTACCCCAAAACTTTTGAGATATTTTTCAATCTCTTTATAATTTGAGGTGTGAACAGTCTAAAATTATAACAGTAATACTTAGAATAAAAATTATGTAGGAGATATGTACATAAAAATGATTGAAATAATTATTTAAAAATGTTTTAAATAATTTAGATAAAATTTATGAATATATAAAAAAAATGATTGGTTTTTGATTTAAATTTATTTTAAAAATTAAGGATTAGCCTTAATATATTACCTTTAAATATTTTTCAAATTAAAGCTGCTTATGATTTGAGGATAAAATTTTGCGACACATCTTGCATCGAAACCGATATCCAGTAGTAATTTTTTCTTCAAGATTCAAGTATTATTTGAATTTTAGGAAAGGATAATCTATATTTTTCTCATTTTCCAAAGAAATTTCGCTATCTTCAACAATCTCACACATTTTTAATAACGAGATTTATGATTTATAATGTATATTTTTAAATATAAACTTAAATTTCAAAATTAAATTAAATAAAAGGATTATAATTTTAGATTTAATAAAAAATATATTTTAAAAATTTTTAAATGTATTTATTATGTAAAATTGAAAGTAGCGAGCTACAGCTATCGCTATTTTCTAAAAAAGTAGCCCGCTAAAGCTACCGCTACTGAAAAAAGTAGCGCGCTATTTTAACAACACTGGTTATGTTATATAATATAATTAATATTACAATCATGTCGTTTTAAATTTTAACTTGAAGATAAACTGATATAATACTTTTTAGGAACATTTTACATTTGGTACAAGCATTGAATTAGTTCCTACATTATAGGATGTTACTGTAATATATTTATCATATTTGGGCCATGGCAATGTTAGTTCATCTGATAATTTTCAGAATCAGATGATGAAATAATAATATCCATGCTTATGCTAATCTATTAATAAAATATATAAAATAATATTCAAATTAATAAACTATAATAATGGCGTGTTAAAAAAATAAATTGAAATGTGAAAAGGAAAAACAGTTGTTTATAAAATATAAGACTTTTTTCTTAAAAAATTCGAATTAATATTAAATTTTTAAAATAAATATAAATAAAAGGTGTTTTTAAAATTGAAAACGCGTTCACGTTCAAAGTTCGTTAAAAATAAAAGGAACGCCGTTCATCATTATTTTCAAAAAAACGAACTTCGTTCACGAACGCGTTCGTTTACTACTCTAATTAAAATATAAAAATAAACCAAAATGCGAATTTAATTTATTTATATTTTTCGTTTTATATGTATGGCGCCGCATATCATTTATTTTTACATTGTTTTATCTATCTATAACATATATAAAAGCCGTGTCACACTCAGAGTGTCACAATTTATATATATATATTCGTGAATTTTGGAAATGTCTGTGGCCTAATCGGCCGGAGCGTCGTTCACATATCTGTTTAGGTTCGAATCCCAACAAAGATCATTTTTATTGGTATTTTTTTTCTTAATCCAACTTGATGGTTCCGTCCTTTGGAATAGGCATTAACTAAATTCCCATTGGGCCTGAAAATGTTGTCATTTGCAGACCTCTGGTGATAAATGCATGTGAAAATAAAAGTGACAGACGCATATTATTTATAAAAGGATTCTATGGTTAAAATCCATTATGATCTGCTGTTTCCGATGTCATACTGACTAGAGGTCTGCAATGGGCAAGTTTTGTTGCACCTGTCTGCTCATTTTTTTAAAAATTTTGTTTAACTTGCCTGTCCAATGTTTAAAAATTATTATATTGGTTGATTTGGCTTTTTAAGTATTATTTTAATAATTTTTACTTAGACATAAATTATGAAATAATATCTAATAATAAATAAAAGTCAGTTGCTCATTTTGCCTGAAATATATTTCAAATTCACCTACCCATTGTTTTAAAAATATTTTTTAACCCTTCCACTCATTAACCCAATATCTCTCCGTCTATCCTCAAAATAGGCTGGTTTAAGTTAGACAAAACCTTCATCTAGCAAGAATAAATTTTTTAGGTTTTAAATTGAAAAAAAAAGTATAAAATTAAAAATTCATTTAGGAATATTTTTTATTGAGCACATAATTATAATTTTTACATTTTATGAAATTAATATAATGAAAATTTATATGTTCCGATTATATTTATATTGATATTGAAATTAATAAAATATATCAGAGACCTGTATATACCATTTGCACAACCTGCCTTGTATTTTATTAAAAAAATTTTTGGCATGGACCTGTCTGGATTTTTTTAAAATATATTATATTTATTTAATTTTTGTAAATAATAATGGCTTTTTAAAATATATAGCACTGACCTGGGTATATTTAAAATTTTTAGGCCCAGCCCGGGTATATTTAAAAAAATTTAAATATGGCCTAACCCCTGTACCTGTATTAAAATATATTTTCTTATAATAAAGATAATCTTGAAGAATGAATCCATATCATGAGAAGATGCAAACTTATTCAAAACTTGGATAACAATTTACCAAGGAGTGCTTGGTGGCTTCTAATGTTAATAAAAAAACATTAAGGAAGGATCCATTCCCACAATCTAATAAATATTTGCATTTTTTATGATTACTAGCTGATGTCCGACAAGAATGACAAGGAATTAGTGTTCTCCTTAATTTGATAATTTTATAAATCAATAAGCCTATATGAAGTGTGAATCAGAAATTTACCTTATTTTGATGAGAATTAATTCCAAACATTTCCTTATAATATGTTAATGAAGTATATATATATATATACACTTATTGCATTCAATATGAACAAATATTTGAAACAAGTTTGAATATACTTTTTTAAGAATTTTACTCCTAATTTTTTTTAATTTTTATTATTTATGTACTCAATAAAAAATTTAATCTTGCTAGATGAGGGTTTTGTATATTGTTATCATGGAAACAGATGAGTCTTATAAAATTGGTTTCAGGAAATTGAAAAACAATTATTTTACATATCTTTTGGTATTATCGTTAAAACTTATTTAATTTTAAAAAGGTACATTATAACCTATTTAATTAAACCATTGTAGTGAAATAATTTGACATGCAAAAAATACTAATAAAAAAAATTTTGCAGCAGAAACTTCGAGTGATAAACGTATTTCGGAAGTCATAGACAATAAAAGGAGGATGTCATAAAAAATAGAACTCATATAAAAAGGATTAATTAAAAAATAGAAAATGAACCAAATATAGTCAAAGATACCTTTTTAAATCAGATAAAATAGTTATTCCAAAAAACCTTAAAAACAATATTACAAAATGTACATGCTAAACATCTGGGAGCAGATAAAGAAAAAGATCAAACATGCTAAACATCTGGGAGCAGATAAAGAAAAAGATCATGCGCGGTGGCCTGGAAACAATCCTGAGACAGATTTGAGTATAAATAATTCCCAAATTTTTTTTAGAAGGGGAAAAGATAGTGTTTTTATTCCAACACCGAGACCGGCGAGAATAGTTAACAAACCTAAATATTTCAAAGACTATATCATGTCTGTGGATGATAAGCTAGTAAACTCTCAGTATATAAGGCATTTAGAAAAATATGTAGTAAACGTTACATTTCATTAAATTTGGATCAATATATTTACATATTAAAGTTATTAAAATATTTTTTTTATATATAAACTTATAACATACATATATATATTTGTGAAATTCTTATTCCAACATTCTTATTCGATTTATTTAATCTAATATTCGTTTATTTCAATTCAATATTATTCCAATATTATATAAAAATAACTATAATAATACCACAAATGATAAATGATGATAATAACAACTGAATATGACAGCAGCTTATTAAAGGAGTTGATAAAGACAATTCGAAACATCTACGAAGAAGCAAAACGTGATGATCACTGATAACATAACGTTAACGGTGAACAAAATAGACAACAAGCAAACTGTTAAGCAACGATTTGAACAAACTTGCGTACAAGATCAAGAACAATTTACAACGTTTTTTTATGTCCTTTGGAGGGTGGAATGTTAGATTGATTTTAAGTTTTCGTTTAATTTCAAAGATACTTATTTTATACCTAAATGTTATAGCAAAAAAAGATTTTGTTTCTTAACTCAAAAATCGGTTTTATCGTTTTATTTTATCGTTACAATAAACATTTTTTATATTATTTTATCACTTATGTTAAATTTAAGCTTAAACACAGAACATTTTATTCGTTTTGCGTAACTAATGATTGATTATTATTATATTATTTATTTAATCGATTATTGAAATAGATATATATATAGCAAACATTTTTCTAAAAAGAAGGATTTTTGATAGATATTTTTATGATGTATTTGATATAGTGTTATAGTTCTTATGTACTTTTTATATGCTGATATAAAATTGTAGGAAAAATCCCATATATTTATTAGCGGAATTTTATTTTTAGCACAGTTTATATTTTTTACTCATTTGCTTCAAAAAAGTTTAAAAATAACGATTATTACAATTATCACTTTTTATGATCCTCATTTAAATTTTAATTTAACATGTTTACAATTTATAAACCCATTTGCTTTAAAAAAATTCTAAAAAGTTAAAAAAATAAGGATTATGACAATTGTCACTTTTCTATGGTTTATCTTCTCTAAAATATCAATTTAACATGTTTACAAATTTTTTTACCTATTTGCTTTAAAAAAGTTTAAAAATAAGGATATGACAATTGTCACTTTTCTATGGTTCATCTTCACAGAAATTTAAGTTACCATATTTGCAATTTAATTTTTACCCTACTATATATACAGCGATGCAAGTTCGGCTCAAAAATTCAATTTAGTCGAATATGGGGACTAATCCGAATAAATGGTTCGACTTTAGTAAATTTCCTACGACTATGACGTCGTTGTCGGAAGAACTCGACTAATTAATAACACTAAGCGATTATAGCGATACTGACTTAGTAATATTAAATTCGCTATAATATCTTCGCGAAATAGTTTTCGCTATATTGTTCGCGAGAATGACTTTGCTATAAAATTTTCGCGTCACTTAATGTAGCGATAACAGTTTAGCTATTAAAAGTTTGGCGAAAAAGTGTTTCGCGATAAACATTTCGCTGAATTGACATGGAACCAATATTTTAGCCAGAAAAATATTGCCTAAATTTGGAGATTTCGCTAATAGATGTCCAAACTCTTGTGCTATCTATGAGCAAAATCTTCAGGCTTGCGTAATATTTTTACGAATAAAATACCGAATTAACCGTTTTTAAAAAATCCGATAAAATGGAGCGATTTTACATCAAGTTCTGATGATCATAATTTTTCCCGTAACCGTTTCGAGAATAATTAAAATTTTATGCTTGGAACAGAACGTTCCAATATTTGAAATATTATTTTTATTTAAAACTTTCTGTTTTCTTTTTAAGGGGTGGGAGATTTTTTTAGGTTAAAAATTTATTGTTTTGTGTATTTCTATTATTTTTTAGTTTTTAGCTATTTTATTGAATTTAAAATAAAAGAAATTACAGGTATAGCTTCTACCCAAAATTTTTAGGGAATTTTTTACCGTGAAATTTTGAATTAAATTTAATTTGAGGTGATACACGGTAGACTATAATTCCAGCAAAATCAAGTCTTTAAAAATTAAAAAAATGTGTGCTGAGAATGATTTAAATGTTAAAGATTCCAGTATTCTAAATTCAGTGTAATCTATGACATATATACTATACACAATAAAAGTTTTAAGTCCCAATTTTTTTTATCAATATTAAAAATTAGTTAAGGTTAATGAGGACGAATTAATTTTCATTCAATGTACTGTTAATAATTAATTTAATTCTAAGTTTTATTAAAGAAATTTAATTAAAAATATATCTGAAATTAATAGAATATAAGATTTAGGTTTTTTATAAATATATTTCATACCTGGAGTATCAAATTCTACCATAACCCTTATTCCCCTAATATGAGCGTAGGTCAAAATTTTGTCCACGTCTTTTTGGCTGTAGACCAATTTTTGGCTATATGCTCCCTGTTGAGTAAAAGGATATTAAAATCCTATTATAAAAACATCAACAATTTCTATGTGGCCATTAAAAAAAGAATCTTTAATGGAAATAAATAAAAATATACAATATTTAATTCAACTTATTTTACAAGGACAACTCTTCTCAATATGAACAAACTATATGAGGAACATTCCTGAAAAAATTTCCTTCTTAATTATTCGAATCGTTTCTTTTCTTCTGTTTAAAAGGGATTTTATTTATTAAATGTATATATCTCAGATTGCATTTTAATCCAATAAACGTTCTCCTAAAAAATCGGTGTAACATTCGAAATCAACATAATCAAAATCACATTGGTTTATATCCTATGAGATTCCTTATATAAAATTTTAGTTTTTTTTAGTTGAATGTTAGATTTGAAGTTGGAATAAGGTATCATAGGAAAAAAAATGGGAAATTTCTTCGATGATAAATTTTGATCAAAATTAGCAATCTTGGCTATTAGGGTGTTGAACTCTATGTAAAATGGTTTAGTTCCATTTCGATTTTTGATCAGTATTTTTCATATTTGTGATAAAAAAAAATTGTTAGGGACGAAAGCTCAATCTCTCATAGTTTAAGAGGTAGTCATAAATATGCGAGAGATAAGTGACAAATTCTCCAATTGACCCCATAGACAAGGTGAGATGGCAATACATTCGGGATGATATAGTTAATATCAATTTCAAGGCATATAAATAAATATTATTTTTTAATATAACAAAATTTTTATAAAAATAATCTATTTATTAATTTTATGATTAATCTAAATTTATTTATTATTTTTAAAAATTATTTCTGTTTAGCCTTGGCCTTTGAGCTATGACACCCTATTCTGGTATGTTTCAACTTTGTATATTAAATAAATATTATTTGTTATTATATATTTTTTCGGTACAAATAAAACAAGGAGGTGGTAAATCATAATAGCCTCTTTCTTTTGAAGCTATCTAGAAGAAGCTATATACGGCTGTAAAGAAATAATCTGAGAGTTGACAAAGCCTAAAATTGTTCTCTTCATCATATTTTTATAGTGTTTATTGTCCTATATCTTTTGTTTTAAGCTTGTAGTTGTAGTAATTCATAGTGAATGAATGATTATTTACGATTTTCCTTATATTTTTATTCTTTGACCCCTTTACTGCTTGACCCCCAAGTCTCTAGATTTAGTGGTACTAACTCGATATCTAGCTAGATAAGCTAGAAACATGTAGTATTTATTGTCAATGAAAAATCTCTAAAAATTTTATTTTTTATATTTTAATTGAAAAAAAAGAAATATCTAAAATAAAATCGTCGAAAAAAGGCAAATAAAACTGTTTTTTGTTAATCCTCTTGATAGTGGGGCTCCCAATTCTAGTAAAACATATGGTAATTTTCTGACTAAATTTGAGTTAAATAGCTCAAATGGTTAGAAAGTTATTAACGTTTGTTTTTCTAACCCGATTGCCGTTGCGCTCCGGTCTACCCTATATATCATATATAAATATTTATTTTAGATAGCTAGCTAAATTTATTTATTCTAGATTATTTAATTTTGAAATCATATTCGATGCCTTATAACTACGTTAATAACATTTGTCTATATTATATATTTCGGTATAGGTTGTTTTCCGTTTCAAATACCACTTGCAGCCAATATTAAATAACAGATTTCGATTTAATATGCGTATGTACGGTTTACCCACTAATGTGTAAAAGTTCCTTCATAGATTCTTTTAATATTCAGTTTGATGAAAATGAGGAATATCTAGGGTTACTGTATTTACAACATAAAAGGAGGGTGTGTTTGTATACGTCTTATATGTATTTTATTATTTTTACCATCATAATTAGAGTATGGCTTAGCCAAGTTTTGAGACAATCGGCTAAAACTAATTAGTCAAAAATTAGGCACCGGCTAAGGAATTCGCTAATCGTCCGTCAGCGTTACTACAGAGGTAATAAATATATAAAATAATTATATATAAATAATCTTAGTAAATATAAAAAAATAAAAATAAGGCCAGCTTAGTGTTGTGCAAAGCTGACGATTATCCGATGCCTAATTTTTCACTAATTAGTCTTAGCGAGGCTTAGCCGAAGTTTTTAACGGTTACGCAACACTAAATAATCTTCCTCAAGTTTGTTAAATATAAACAAATTTCCTTTGTTATCAATTATATTGGTTGAAATGGTATAAATGCGAAGTTTTGGGGAAAGAACCTCCATTTTTCGCATTTATTCGATATTTAGATATATGTGATAATTTTGATTTTTTTAGGTAAATAATTATTTTAAAAAATTCGGACCGGGCAGGAAAATTATATAAAAAATCAGGCAGGGCCTCGCAGTAAAAATTTTCATAGTCCAGCCCGGGCATTAAAAGTTAGACATATTTTTTTGAATTTCAAGCTAATATTTTGATTACTATTTGAAAATAAACTACAATATGCTTATTACTTTATATTAAAAGATGCCTAACTAAAATATTATTTTAATTTTGTACCAAATTTACTAAAGGTACATTATGCAACAAATACTAAAATCATAATAAATTTCAATATATTTTTGTTTATCGATGAACAGTTTTGGGTTTGATCACTACCACATATAATTACAATATATATTTTAAAAAATCGTTGTTTTCGAAAAGCGCATTTCAAACATATATTACCCATATGTCAGAGGTCTTAAATTTTTATTTTTGTAAGGTTGTAAACGCCTAACAAAAACAAATTAAAAAACTTTAATTAAGTCTGAAGGCATTAATTCGGCTACAAGTGATTTATAAAAAGTTTACCTTTTCACTGAGTTTAGGAAATTTCTGGCTGAAAAAAGGAAAAGATTGATCGTCTACTATATGCCAATGGAACACGTTAAGTTTGTTCATCTCCATGGCATCCTTTAAGAGAGAGGATAATTTTTAGAAATTATAAATTTGTAAGAAATAAATTTCAATATATGCTCAGAATGATTTGACGAAAGGACAGATGATAGTAATAATAATGGCATTCGAAGAATTTTTACAATCCTTAAAAATTTATAATAAAATCAATTTTCTTTCCCTTTCTTCCAAAAAAATTAGTAAATTGCAAAGAACACACTTATTACCAGAGATCGGAACCTTATTAGATTTTGAATAATTTTTCAAGTTCTAGTTCCAAAACTGGTTTTAATCATAACATGTTTTTAAATATTTTTAAATTATTTTCATTATCAACGAGTAAAAGATATGGCTGAAAGATATTTGGTTAAATTTAAAATACAAATATAATTATTTATATGCTTGTAAATCTGATTTGTTGTAAGTTTAGAATGAAACCTATTTTATTTTTTATAGGACCTGGTTTATTTTTTCTTAAACTCTTACCCGATTCTGCAAATCTTTAAGGTTCCGATTCCTGCTTATTATGAATCTGTCCAATATAATCGGAAACCACCGCATATTTTGAACAAAATTATTATATTTAAAAAAGTACAAATTTTAAAGCATATAATAGAGCCTGCATGAACCCTTCTGAGACAGATCAAATTCGGGTGGATCGAACAAACATTTTCTCGACTCAATCAAGCCGGACCTTAAATTTCAATTTTAATTCGAACAAAACTCGGACCTCGACAAAATGTTAAATGATTTCGTTTTCCAAATTTAGTTTTTCAAAAAAACACCAATTATTTTTATTTTTATCAAGCGCTTATAATTTTCCCCCTTAAAAAATCATACTTTAATCCGATATAATTTCTTAAATTTTTTCGGACCTTTTTTAAGATAAAAATTCGGATCAGCCTCGGATCTTTGAGCAGTCGGATCGGTTGGACCAAAATATTTTCTCAAAAAGAATAGGTCGAATACAGGACTCTAGTAAACTAAATAATGCATCAAAACAAGGCTTAATATTCAATCAGAATACCATTCAACGAAGAAAGAAAATAGAATATCTAAGGTTCAAACGAAACAAGACATGTTATTTTATAACCAAATCCGAGCCCTATGAAATGCCAAAAAAAAATTCGAGTCAAATAATATAAAAAGTTTAGAATTTTTTCAATAAATAATTTATATCAATAGTATAAAAATAAGGTATAAAATGGAACATCTAGGTTTCAAATAAAAAAAAAAATTTTAATATCCAAGGACAAAACGATTATTTTAAAATAAAAAAGAAAACAAATACAGTTCCCGAGATCAGGGAAGCCAAAAAATTCAAAGCAAACAAATACAGTTTCCGAGATAAAGGAAGCCAAAAAACTCAAAGCAAACAACTTTTAAAAAATAGGATTTTTAAAAAATAATAATTATTCACTTTCAAAAAATCCTCCTGTATGAGACTTTCCAATTTTAAGGTTTAAGAAATAAACATAGCTATAGTTTAAGTCTTGAAGAATGTAAGCTGTTTATTTATATCCGTTTTTTAAAAAACGAGTTGTTTGGAAAAGGCATATAGGGAATAAGAAATATAATATGGAAAGAATAATATATACAAATATAATTTTCTATAAACCAAATTTCGTAGCAATAGATTGACTGGTAAGAAATGGCGTGAAGTGTCCAGCAATATACCTCTGTATTGGAATCTGGGCTCGTCAATTATGTGGCTGATGTTAGCTACCAAGGAATCCCCATCTAAGTCAGGATTAAGATGAATTATTTGGGAGAGAGTAGTGAACGCTCTAAGAGCTCCCCACACGCTGTTACAGTTTATGATCATTTCGGATTCGGCTGTCACATCCAAGATATCTAACAATAAAATAATTTTATAGGCCCATCATAAATATATTAATATTATGTGATGTAAGTACGATCAATATTATAACTTGTTGATCGATTTTAATTAGCGCTACATGATTTCAAATTTTTTTTGCTAATTCTGATGTATTTTAAATATTTTTATAAATAAAAACACGTTCTTATTCTTTGATATTTTTCCGGCTGATTTCATTTTATTATATATTGGAATTATTCTTTATCATAAAAGTTATTTTTAAGCTGCGTCATAGTTGCTCTTTTTTTTACGAGTTCTGAATAGCATTTCTTTTCAAAATTAAAAAAAATTGAACTTTTTTCAATAGCTTTGATACCTATATATAGATTAAAATAGAGTAATGACATTTAACGTTGGACGCTATTGGGTTATGTATTTTTGATATATTTTAACGTCGAATTAGTATTATCAAAATAAGTCCATATTTTTTAAAAGGCAGGTGTGGTTCTGAAGTTACTGGCCTAAACTGAGGCGTAGAACGTTTAACCTGAAATGGGTGAAAAGAGGGGGGGGGGTCTCAAAAATCTGTCAATATATTTTCGTATGAATTATTTTCTACAAAAAACGAACTATTCGAATAATTTTTTAATTAGAAATTCGTTTAGAAGAATCGAATAAGAAATCTAAGATTTTTAAAGGGGGGAGGTAAGACTTTCGGGTGGTTCTTTTTCTAATAACTTTTATTAGGGTTTTATGTCAATTTTTTGATTATAAAATTAGGGTTGTCCAATATATCGGATTGGGAGTATATATTTTTTTGGCCCACCCATTTTTACAAATTGAATCTCGGGAAAATTTTATGTGTTTTCATTATTTAATTTTTTTAATAAACATGAAATATTAAACAATTATAAATTTAAATAAATAATTCAAAATATAAATCCAAATATAGTAAATTTATGTCATTTGGAAATGTGATAACTCAGACACTATAGATAAGAGCTTTTGAATAAATATAAAATATTAAGCTATTGCAATAAATAAATTCAAAATATAATTCAGAGACCTGCAGAGGTACCATTTGCACGGCCCGGCCAGAGTATTTTTTTTAAAAAAAAATCAGTCCCGGCCCGGGTATATTTTAAAAAATTAAAATACGGGTCCAGCCCTAAGGTCTCTGATATATTTTAAGAAAATGTAAGTTAAAAATTTTATATATTAAAAATTAGATAATATTTTTAAAACAACAATATTCACAAATATACAGTCACATAATTGTTTTAATATTAACCTTTAGATACCTCCTCCATACAGACTCAATTCGCTGAGTATGCATGGATTGGTCACTTGGATTGATAAAATTTTGTCTATGATTATTGCCTAATTAATAAAATAAAATTATAAAAGACAATGCGAAATTTAAGAATTTAATTTAAAAAAACAAGTATTTTTTTATAAAATTAAATTTAAAAAACATAAAAAATTTCCCCGAAAGACTCAATGATTTACCAAATTTTTAATGAGTGAGACTGAGAATAACAATAATTTTGATTGTTAATCTTTTTTTTTCTTTTATCCTAAAATTATAATTATTTGTTTATTATTTTATTTTTCCAAATAAATATATTTTGAATTTGATTTTATATAATTTCAATAAAATATTAATATAATTATTACAGCTGTGCAGAAATTAAATATCAGATAGGATTGGGGCCGATATTTAGCTATTTTTAAAAATATCGGATCGGGAAATATTTTTTAAAAACCCTGATCTGATATTTTTATGATTTTTTTAGCAAAAGGAACCAAAATTCAATTTATTTATCACATTTCAAAAATATCAAATTATTTTTAAAAAATAGTGGATAAAAATTTGATATTTTAGGTTGGTAAAAAGCCTGATTCGGGTCAATTTTTAAAAATGACTTAGGCAAAATAATATATAATAAGCCTCGAATTTATTATGTAAGCCTCGAGATTCATAATATTATTTTGCTAAAATCTTAATCGGATCGTTTTTAAAAATCATCCCGAATCGGGTTTCTTAACAACCCAAGTTATAATATCTGCAAAAAGAAAAGAATTTAAACATATCTAACGACTCACAGTCACATTAGCTAGTCTTGTTAAACGGGCTCAATTTTGCAGAATTTTATAAACTAACTCAAGATTTTCGCAAAAAGTAAATTACCTGAGCTTGGATATTTTGTCCACAGATGACAAAAAGTCTATTAGCAAAATTTTGAGGCTTGAATAATATTTTTATTAAAATCTGATTTAGCTATTTTTAAAAATCGGCTAAATTGAGCCTATTAAAAATATTACATTCAGCCATAAATATTGCCCATATTTTAAATGAGATAATTAATTTTTGGAGCATAAAAAAATAATAAATCGAAATCATTCGTGAAAGTTAAATGTATTTTTGAATAGAAAATATTGATTTTTCTAAGATATTGATTCAATGTATATGAGGTATTGGTTAGGTTTTATAGTAATATGAGAAGATATTGGATCAGATGAGTGAAATTTTGTGGATGGGCACCAGTGTCTCCATGATCGTGAGGGGTAGGAACAGTTTGCATCCTATTTTTTTGAGGGGGTAGGCTGCTTTAATGGGGGTAGGGGTAGGCTGCTTTAATGGGGGTAGGGGGTAGGCTGCTTTAATGGGGGTAGGGGGTAGGCTGCTTTAATAGTGGTAAGATAAATTTTTTGAGGGTTTATCTATTAGATTTTGAGATGAAATAGGACAAAATTTATTTCTGTAAAAATAAATATTTTTATAATAGAATTATTATAATACAATTCATCGACCAAATCTATATATGCATATAATCATACACATTGTTTTCCAAATAAAACTTTCTGCTATCTTTCAGCAAGCTAATAATGCCATAATAATTAATTCATTGTAAATAATGGAGGTTTTAATTGAATTTATTATCTAAAAAATAAATTCCTTATATTCACAAAATATCCCTTTATAAATTCTCTGAAAAGAGTATCAATAAATTTAAAAGGTAAGAATAATAATAGAAGGCAACCACCGCGCATAATTTTTTTAGGGGGGTAGGCAAAGGTTTTTGAAGGGGGTTTGCATCCAGTGAAAATCCTGTCATGTAGACGCTGATGTGCACAGCTCTAATAATTATGGGTATCCCAGTATGCATAATTTTAAATATTTTAACAACGTCAATCAATAATATTATATTGTTGATTGTTCATCTATTATAATAATCCTCAAAAAACGTCAATCAAGTTTAACAAATAGTGTTTTAAAAAAAATATTTGTCCAATGATAATCATCATAGCAATTTTAAGCCAATAGTAATTCCCATGTGATTTATAATATAGCGAATATACTCAACACAATACTCAATTGCCACTGCAGGTAAAATATTCTTTTTTCAACAAATTTTATTTAGATAATATTTTTAAAATATTTATTGTTGAACACCAAAAGTAAACACTATTTATTTCAGTATATCAAAAGAATAGGCAAGTTTAAATTCTTCAATTATTTTATTTTTGATGTGTAAACTTTCATTAGTCTATGACATCTGGGCTGAATCAAGGAGAGTTAGCCTCAATTTTAAAATTTTTCATTTAAATAGCTTTAAACTGTGACTAACTTAAAAATATATTGCATTTTTTTTCTTCTAATGATAATTAATTTCAGTATTGCAAACAAAGTGATTGTATAAAATACACTTAAATATTGTTTATTTTCATTTAAAGCAATAAATTAAATTTTTGAATATGGGCTAAGGCAAAATTTTTGAAATTTATGATGGGCTTGGGTTTGAATTTTTTTATTAAATATGGAATGGGCCTGCAAATTATTTTTATTGTTGACCTGGACTGGAGGCTGATGAATAAATCAAGGCCCATGAAAATCCCTAATTTGATTCATTTCCCATCTAACTTTATTTGAACTTAAAGGAATGGGCAAACCATATATATGCCTTATTTCAATCATTTGCAAAAAAAATGTGTTAATTGCTAGATTCAAGAAATTGTTGGACATAAGGAAATAAAGAAAGCCATTGTGAAGTGTATATATGGAGGAAATATAAATCCATTTTTTTAGGATAAATAACAGAAAAAACAAATGTCTGTTGTGAGCTTGCCTTAAATTTACATATATTTTAGGGATTATTTAAGAACCCATTAAAAAATATAAGTTATTAGCTGATAGCTCGTCAAAAACTACAGAGAATCATAATTTACTTCTTTATTCAATGATAAAAATTTTACCTTTATTTGATAATGTATGAATCAGAAAATTTTCCTATCTTATGAGATGTGATTTAGAAATTTATATTTATTTAGATGAGGGGTTATTCCAAAATTTTTTATTATTTTTTATAAAATATGTTTATAAAGTATATGGTTAGTAATTTTAATTTATGCCTACAATAGGAAATCTTTTAAACTAAATTTTTATTCATTTGTATTTGTAATTTATAATATAAAAAATATATTTTTGCTAGAACCTCATAAGATAGAAAAATTTCTGATTCATTCATCATCAAATAAGGGTAAAATTTATTATTCATCCATCATTAAATAAAGAAGAAAATTCATATTCCCCTTGATGGGCTATCAAAAATCTGTAAAAATTATATTTATGTGCTCAATCTATCTATTATAATTCAAATACCCTTATGACAGTGAATCAGCCATCTGAATGTTTTTCCAAAAAAAAAAATTGAGTAAAGAAGAAAATTTTGATTCCCCATCATTCTATGGGTCATCATCTAATCTAGTAATATTATAATAAAGAGAAATAATATAATTATTATTTTTCTGATGAAAAATATTTTTAATTTATAAATTGGAAAATTTTTATGTGAAAATTATTTTTATTTTATTTAAAATAAAAAGTTAAAAATTGTTTCTTAATATTTTTTTAAGAATTAAAGAATTGTTAGAATTTAGAGAAAAAGTTTTTTTTAAGAATTGGAGTAAGAAAAGTGAGGACTAAGATAATGGGTTAATCTTAATTTAATTAATTGAGGTTCGGTTTTTCCGGTACGAGTGATGAATATGGATATTATCTTCAAGGATGGATATAAACTGATAAGTGATTGTATTTGTACTTTGAATTTAATTTAATCATATATTTATTTCTTATTTTAGGTTTTAAATTATATTTCTAGAGTACCTTCCCCGTCCCTTTTTTTAAAAATAAATAGGGCCGTAGGTTTTGGGTGTGGGCTGTTCTCTTAGTCCTCCCTATCTGTTCCAGCCCACAGACGTTTAAATAATAGTTTATGAACTATTATGCGTACAAGTACGTGCGGCTTGCCCACAAACGTGTGAAGGGCTCCTCATATTTTACTTTATACCTATAAATCTTCCAATTAGATGGAAATGAGGAAAACCTAGCGTAGCTCTGCTACAACGTTGAGAGAGCGTATGCGCTTTATTCCGTATTCCGTATTTGATTAATTTGCAGTATGATTGATATTAATAGTATATGAAATGAATTCTAAAATAAATTATTTACTTCTAACATAAACCTCTACTAGAATTTAAGATGAGGACATTTTTGGATTTAAATAGAAAAGTGATTTGGAATTAATTTTATATAAGAGGGAAGAGTTAAATATTTCTAAAATAAAGTAATGCTCAGAATTAAAATAATCATGCAATTTTTAATTAAAATATTGGATAGGGTTGTTTAAAATATTGTAAATCAGACAGTCATAATTGAAATGATATTTATTAAACCCTAATTTGTCAAGGACATGGGGATGGAATTCCCTTGGCCATTTGTTTTCACAATAATGAATTTAAGGAAATATCTTTTGTTGATGAGATATAAACATATACATTTGGGTCATTCCATGTCAAATGAGAAATAAAAATGAAATTTCTAGCTGAACTTTTTCAATTTTGATAAAAAAAATTGCATGAATATCATATATGTTTTCAAGTTAGAATAAAGCATAGTTTCACTCACTACAATATTAAATATGATAATGGAAATCAGTTTGTTGAAAAGATAAGCCAATTTGATCTTTTTTAAAATTGGATATTTGTGCAAATCTGAGTGATTTTAATATCAATGCAGTCTAATATTCTTACTAACATGAAATACAAAATAATTAAAAATTTTGTGGAGGTCCAAGTCTGGTCTAAAAGAAATTTTAAAATCAAGGTCTAAATCAATAAAATACTCCAAGTCTGAGAGCCCTAGTTCAGTCAGATTTGATTTAAATAACAATGCACCAATTTATATGTAAATGTGTATACAAAACTTATAAAGATAATAATATTTAAAAAATATCCTTTTATAAATGTATAAAGCACTGAAAAATAGACCAAATGCCTGAATCAAGCCTTAAATTTTTATAGAATTTAGGCCAGGCCAAACTTGGGCCTTATTTTTTTTGAAAAATCTGGCCAGCACAGTTGTTAGTTTAAAATAAAATATATCTTGATACACTTTTGTAAAAAGTATCTGTACCTAAATACTATTATAAGGTATCTGTACTTATTTCTAAGTATTTTTATAGATATATTTTGATATAATTTTATTATATATTTTTTTAATATTATAAATAATATTTGAATTAACTTCACTAAATATTATATCTGTTATAAATAATAATTATTTATCAGTTTATACTTTATATAAAGATGAGCTATCAATTCAATAAAAAAATTAGCTTATTTCATAATCTGAATCCTAACAAATACTAAATTAGGCATTACACACTATAAAAGGTATCTTATGGAAAATTGTACTATATTAGGAAACATTTGTAAGAATGTAGTAATTAGAATTTCTCTGTAATACAGAGAAAATATTAATTTATTTTATTCAGTTTCTTATAGGTGTTTAATTTATATTTTTCAGTTATAAATTTCAGGCCTAGTTCCAGCTTAAAAAATTTTTAAAAATTGTGGCAGGCTTTGGCCAAAATTTGAATTTGTAAATCTCTATTATAAGATCATTTTAATATTACATTTTTCATTCATTTCAGCTTGAGGAATAGTTTCACATGTTGACGAATTTATATATACTTTAACAATTAAAGGATATTGTTTATTATTATTAGGTGTATTTAATCCATAACTCAAAAATGTTTTCAAATTATCAATTAATCTCTTAAATCCAGTTTCTAATATCTCGCATGATAAATTAGACGTTAATTTAGTGGATAAAAGATCTATCTTGATATAATCATGTGTAACATTCATATACAAAGGATGAGGCCAAGGGTTTCCAAATACTGATGGGATAGGAGATGAATATATTGTTGCAAACTCGTCTGCATACGTTTTACAATGTATAGAAGACCATAAAGTAAATAATAAAGTTACGATAAACATTGTGAAGCGGTATCGTCCCATAGTTTCGAATTGTGTTATACGTTTTGTCGGTGAAAAATGGTGATTATCATTTACAGCTTAAAAACGTGAATTAACAAAGATACAAGTTTCTAACTAAAACTACAAATGGCTGTAACATTTTGAATTATTTAATTTAAGAATTGGAAGATTATAATCGTTGTCAAATAAGAAAGGTTAGAAAAAAATGATACTAAATCTTTATTAAATAATAAGTTAAAAATATAATCAAACTAAATTAATTAAAAAAAATTAAAATAATAAAAAATTAAAATTAAAAATTATAATTAAGTTCGTAAAATCATGATCTCTGTTCTTATACAAATATCCTCGAATATATATATACTTTTATTTACATAATGTTTTACAAACAAACTGAAAAAATTTTGAACTTTCTTTAATTTGAATAATCATTCTTTTTTATTCCTCTTTCTTTAAATCATTTGCATTCGAAATTTAATTCTTTTTTCTTGAGTAGATTTGAATATCCTTCGGCTTTGTAATTTGGTTTAACAATTACAACAATGGCCATGCCTAATATTTTAAAAATAGTAAAAAAAAAATTTATTCAATATATATATATACAAACAGATGAGCCTATAACTATCAGTTACCCATGCTGTAGAATGTTAAAGTAAAACCTCAAATATTCTTTTAATTTATTTTTATAAAATTTTACAAATCATTTTAATTATTCCTTTGTATAACAATTGCCAGTGCATTAAGATTTTAGCCAAAATAATTTTATGTAACCCTCAAGATTTGGAAAGTAGAAGCCCAAACCTTTCTGCCATCTTTACATAACCAGTTTTACACAAATATTATTTTTATTACAATCTTAATAGGGCCATTTTTAAAAATCGACCCAAATCCTGCTTTTATACAACACTAGTAGGGACATTTTGCATTCAATTTTTCGTGAAAAGGGTAGGCCCCTTTAAGTGGGGTAGGATATAATTATTGGGGTGTTATCTATATTTAGAGACATATGATAAAATATATTGCTGTAAAAAATTAATATATTTATTATAGACCTATTATAATATAATGTTATTGTTGATCATCGACCAAATTTATTTATTGCTAAATTTCTTAGATATTATTATCCAAATAAAGCCATTTAAAAGGATAGGCTAACTCAGCAAACTAATATTCTTGCCAATTAGTGAAGGTCAACGGTCCGGTCCTATCGGTCTTAGACCAGCATCGGACCGATTGTCGGACCGATCTTTTTGTTGAGGACCGTGGTCCGGACCGGTCTTTTATTAATATTTAAGTTTACTTTACTATTCAATTAATATAATTTTTTTGTATATTTTATTTTATGATATTTTTCTAGAGGAGTTATTTTAGATTTTGTTAATTTTTTTTTTACAATATGAAAACCATAAGTTTGTCCAAGAAACATTATACTTATAGTCCTAATAAAAAACATAGAATATGTGTTCACTGTAATACCAAATTTAACATATCGTCAGCAACAAGTAACAAAATAATTGTTTATAATTTTTTAAGCAATAAATTAATCAAAATAAGTAGTATTATTATTAAAATATTTTGGTTATTATTTGTATATCTATTTTTTCCGAAGAAACTGTCTGAATAATTCATTGTCAAAATAATTTAACCTTATTCTTAATAAAATAATTAGGTACCTTAAGCAGGCATTTGATAAAACATAAAATTTATACTTCTAATAATGAAAATGAAAATATCTCAAAAACACAATCTACTCTTAATTTAAATATGCCCTCCACAAGTACAAAATCACTTTCTTCAATACCATTGGATAAATTCCAAACAGATCATATCAACCAACTCATTATAAAATGGGTAATAATGGACTCTCTGCCAATGAAGACTTTTGAAAGTTCAGGTCTTCATAATTTAATCAAATATTTAAACTCAACTGCTACAATTTGGTCAAAAAACAAAGTTAAAAATTTTTATATAGCTAATTTTGAGAAACTAAGAAATTCTCTAAAAGATATTTTAAATAAAAATAATTCTTTAATATGCTTTACCACAGATATGTGGAGCAATATAAATAAAATTTCATTTATAGCCATTACTGCACACTATATTGATTCTTCTTTTACATTAAAAAATATTTTACTTGATATAAATCATATACCATTTCCTCATACTTCTGAAGAAATATCCTTAGCTATAAAAGAAGTAATTGATGTATATCAATTGGAGGAGAATATACTGGCCTGTACTACAGATAATGCCAATAAAATCCTAAAAAGCATGGATATTTTACAGAATATTTATAAGGAACAAAAATTTAAAGGCTTTAGATGCTGTGCCCATATTCTAAACCTAAAATCTCAGGAAGGTTTATCATATATTACAACTATCCTAGAAAAGTGTAGAGATATAGCCTTTTCTATAAATAAATCACCCAAAATAAATCAAGCATATGTACAAATATGTGAAAATAAGGGTATTACAAAATTTAAAATCCCTTCTGATATGCCTATTAGATGGAATAGCTCCTATTTAATGATGAATACAATTTATGAGGTATTTACATTTTTATTCAATTATTTTTAAAAAATATTTAATTTTTAGAACATGGATGCTATAGAAGAAGCACATTTTTTGAATTACAAACAATTTAATGGGGTTTTCTTTACTGAGTGTGAAAAAGAAGACCTTAAAGAGGCTGTAGATTTTCTAAGGCCCTTCTATAAAACCACACTTGATTTATCAGGATCCAAATATCCTACAGTTGGGATTTCCATGTTATATATGGAGAATATAAATAATGAAATTTTAAATAATATAAAAAAGGATAATAACAATACAAGAAAAGAAATTCTTAATAACATGCTGGTTAAAATGCAGAAATATCTCAAAAAATTATTTTGCTATGAATCATATGTCTCAACATTATTGGATCCGAGATTAAAACAAGTTTACATGCCTAATACTCTTAATAGAATTGAGTATATGACCAAATTTTCAAACTATTTAAGGAAAATAGAAAATAAAAAAAATACAGGAATAACGGATTCTCAGGTATATTTTTAATATTTATTTATTAAATCCTAATTTTCAAACATTTGTGCCAGGAGGAAATCAATGAATTTAGTTTTTTAGAAAGAATTTTATCTCAAAAAAGAAATTCAGAAGGGGATTATATATCGGCAGAAATCATTTAAGAAAATATATCAGAACTTCACATCTATTTGAATGAACCTCTTGTTTCATTAAAGGATGACATATTAGTATGGTGGAAAGCCAATAGTGAAAGGTCTTTTATATTTTTTAAATAGTCAATATAGTTTACTATATAGATTTCCAATCCTCTCATTAGCAGCTAGAAATTTTTTAGCAAAGCAACACTGTCCCCTGTGAACAAATATTTTCGAAAGCAGGAGATCTTGTCACTAAAAAAGAGAATAGGCTTTCAAACAAAACAATACAAGCTTTGATGTGTATGGGCTCTTGGTTAAAGAATGGAATAGATCTACCGCCTCCATTAAGTCCCTCTTCTAATTCCTTCCAAGGAAGTTCTACAAACAAAGACATTAGCATTTATTTAAATTAAATATTTGTATTAATTAATATATTATTCATAATTAATTTTATATTGTTTATATAATACTCTTATATTTAATAAAATGATAAAACAAATTAAATTAAACAAATAAAAAGACCGGTCCTGGACCGGTCTTTTTATTTAGGACCACGGTCTGGATCGATCTTTTTTTAAGGACCGTGGTCCGGTCCGGTCCGAGGGTATCGGCCCAGTCCGGACCAAAGACCGGACCGTGACCTTCACTATTGCCAATCAATTTGCTATAATAATGCAATAATTGTATGTGAGGTATTTTTAATTGAATTCATGATCTAAAAATAACTCTTTTATATTCACAATATTTTGAAATAATTTATTTCCTTTTAAAATTGATGAAATATATACTATTATAATTTAAATAAAAGTGTAATTAATGTAAAAACATTCCCGCTGAAGACTGCGATAATTTTCTAGGGGGGTGGGTGGTAAGTATAGGTTTCTGGAGGGGAGGGGTGGTTTGTATCTAGTGAAAATCCTGTCATGTGGTGGCTTGTGCAAATGTAGGTTCTCAAATTAGAGCATTAATTCTATTTATATTTATTCATTTTTGCGCTGATTTTTGAGTATGTAAATTCATTTGCTTATTTTCCAATTAATTTATTGTTATATTTTGAATGAGTCCCATTTTAATTGTTAAAAAAAGCAAAATCAAAGGACAAACTTTAAAAATATTTTTCTAGATCGTATTTGAGTTAGATTCTATATTTGTGTTAAATATTATATTTGCTCGCGTATACATATATCTATATTACAATTTTCCAATATCTTCACTATGCCATGTCATCGTGATGTAATTTTTAATTTAAAATCTAAATATCATAAAATATTTTTGGTATAATAAGCCATATCCTGATAATATTTTGATATGTTTGATCAAAAATTACATGAATCATCAAAAGTATATTACATTTTAATTATTACAATCACTTGAAAAATATTAATAATGCAATGTTATTGATGATATTTGGATATAATTGTTCTAAAACTACAATAATCATTAGACATCCTAATAAAAGGTTTAAATACAAGTGGTGCTTAAGATATAAAAGGTTTTATAAAAATCAAATATAATTTTATTTTTAACAAAATGAAAAGATCAAAAAGAAAATTCCACTTTAGCAATAATATGTTTATATGTTATAAAAGATATTTATAATAATCCTTCAAATTACTATAAATTGTATCCTTAAACCAGGGGCGTCACTAGCCTATACAATCTCAGGGGACTTAACTAAAAATTTTATTAATATATTATACATTTTTAATTGAAATTTGCAAACTCTGAAAAATTATTCTGAATATTTTGTCATTAAAGCAAAACAATACAAGACATTTCTAAATATATTATTTTTTTAATACGAAATAATGATTCATTTATTACAAA